GAGACCTAGCACTGTTTTCAAGTGCTCAGCGTGCTCCTCTACAGTCCTACTAAAGATGAGAATATTGTCGAGGTACACGACGATAAACTTGTCCAAGTAGTCATGAAAGATCCGGTTCATCGCATGCTGGAACGTACCAGGTGCATTGCATAGGCCAAAGGGCATCACCACAAACTCATACAGACCGTACCTGGTTTGAAATGCGGTTTTGTGCTGGTCCTCAGGTCTAACGGCAATTTGATGGTATCCGGACTTCAAATCTATCTTTGTGAAGTACCGACATCCCTGCACTCTATCCAAGAGGTCGTCAATGCGGGGTAGGGGCTCCGCGTTCTTAACGGTGATGGCATTGAGGCCCCTATAGTCAATGCACATCCTTAATGGACCTCCCTTCTTAGGAACAAATAAGACTGACGCACCGTAAGGGGAGGTACTAGGCCGTATCCATCCCTTCTCTGTGAGCTCCTTGAGCTGGCGGCGAAGCTCATCTAACTCCGCAGGAGACATCCTATAGATTCGTCCTCTAGGCACCTTACTACTTGGGACAACCTCTATTGCATGGACAACCTCCCTTTCCACCACGCCTGTGGGCTCCTCARAAAGGTCTGAATATTGAGCGACGACTTGTTCTATCTCTGGGGGTGTTTTAACGGCCTCCCCTTTCTCAGAGACAAACACTAGGTACATGCCCTCCTCGCGATTCTGCTTGTAGTAGTTAGAAAAAGACGAAGCGCACATCCAGCCGTAGTTTTCCACTAGACTGCTGGCTTTTTACTTCTGCAGCCTAACGGTCCTACCATTTGGCAACTTGTGTATCAACACCTTTCTATCCCAATCAAACTGTGGTTGCGAGACTTCGAGGTAGTACATGCCTAGTAGCATATCGAATGGCAGTTCGTCGCTAACCAGGAAGGAGATCTTGTGGATCACTTCCCCTCCTCCATAGGAGAATGAACAGGCTACGTCCTTGACATAGTCTTTCACTACCATTTGGTGCTTGGTGGCTAGCGTAGAAGCTACAGTTCTGCTAAGCCACTGCACTTGGTCCCCTAAGCGCAGTCTATCCACACAAGCACGGCTGATGAAATTTCGTGTAGAGCCTATGTCTGCGAAGGCGCCAACCTTGAAGCCACCTACATCTACTTCTACCACGAAATGCTCACCCTTTGGACCTCTATTGATCATCGCCCAAGAGTCCCTGGGGTCCTTCCCTGACCACTCAGTCTCTAACTCTTCTAGGGCCTCAGACACATCTCTTGAACAGAGCGTCAGTGGGTCTGAATGTGTCTGCGGGGCGACGCGTGGGTCACTAGCCTTGGCCAACGCCTGAAGTGGGGAAGGCAACGTTACCACTTCAGCGCGAGTAAGAGCGGCTAACACTCCTACTGGCCCGAGGTGTTTCCCTGTGAGCTGCTCGCAGAAGCACTCCCAGGGTTTGAAGATAGACCCACCACCGTTGGTGAGGCTACCTTCGTGGTGACCTTCTTGCCACGACAAGTCC